AAAACCTGCAGCTGCTCCCCTCACTCCATTCACTTCCCACCTCCCAAACCCTTCCTTATCCACACGTGTGTAATGATCGACTCATTACACACGGATTTTTTAGTCGACTCAAAAACCTGCAGCTGCTCCCCTCACTCCATTCACTTCCCACCTCCCAAACCCTTCCTTATCCAAACTCCCCGTCTCTGCAGCTGCGGCTCGCTCCCCCCTGCACCGGCCAGAAAGCTCTTTCGTCCTGCCGCCCGCCCCCGTGAGTTCACCTGACATGTCCCTCTGATCCTCCCTACCACATTCCTCCTCCCCCCAACCCTCCCTCCCCTTCTTCTTTCCCTTACCTCGCCTCCCCCCCCGTCCAACACCCCCCACCCCCCCAACCCCCCCACCCCCCCCACCCTCCCCACTTACCGTCGTCTCTGCAGTTGTAGTTCGCTCTCCCCTGCGCCGGCCAGGAACCCTCGTCCTCCTGCCGCCCGTCCCCTCGCACTCACCACCTGCTGCTCCCCTCCCGAACCAAACCCGAGCCTGCGCCCCGTCGAGCCTCGCAGCCGAACCAGCCGGCTGCGCTGGAATTCCAAACCTGCCATCTCCACCTGAGGAGAAACGAGGGTAGTGGGTGAGGTTGGAAGGGGTGGGGGTGGGGGGGCGGTTGTGGGGGGGAAGGGGGGAGAGGATGGGGGGTTGATGCCTCCTGGAACGTCCTGGGGTTGCTCTAAGAGCTTTGCAGAGAGTGTGCTTTTGAGTCGACTTAGAGTGTGCCTAAGAGTGAGGTTACTCTAGGAGCTGCCGCAGATTCCAAAGGGACAGAGGCATGCGTTTGCACTGCAGAGCAGTGCAGAGTCCGAAGGCTTGTTTGCATAGCACTGCACTGCACTGCACTGCTGCCACGTCACGCACCTGAAGCTTGGCCTCGCGTGTTCTGGCGCGGGCACCAAAGATCTCGATGATGAGCCCCACTCTGTCCACCACTGGTAGGCCCCACGCAGCCTTGGAGGGTTGGGGCACAGAGGGGGCGCGGGTAGGGGAGTGGAAACACGCTAAGCACTGGTAGGCCCAACGCAGCCTTGGGGGGGGAACGAAGAGCACGGGGTGAAGGGAGGGGGAATGGGGGGAGTGGAGGAGGGTGGGGTGGTGCGGGGGTGCGTCCATTGGCACCTATCGGATCTGACAAAGACAAAACTTGGGTTATGTTGTTCGATATGTTGCTTTGGCACATAACCCAAGTTTTGTCTTTGTCAAATTTGCTTTGGTTTGCTGCGTGCACCAAACCGAATATCTCGATAACTAGCCCCACCCCACTGTTTCTATTTCCCTCCAACCTCTCTCGCCCTATCATTCTCTAACTAACGCCATTCACTCTCCCTGACCCCCCCCAATGCTCTCCCCGCTCCCACTCCCCCGTCCCTTCCCACCCTGACTGACCAAGAGGGTGCACTGCTGCACGCCTAAGAGAATTGCCTCTCCAGGCGTCCAGGCGTCCAAGCGTCCAGGCGTCCAAGCGTCCAGGCGTCCAAGCGCGCATTCACGAATACAGTCAAACAACTACCTGCTCCCCTCTACTTTTGAGTCGACTCAAAAGCGAATACGGTCAAACAACCACGTGCTGCCCTCTACTCCGTGGCTTGCTGCGGGTGGAACCCATTTAATCCTCATTGAAGCAACCACGTGCTGCCCTCTACTCCGTGGCTTGCTGCGGGTGGAACCCATTTAATCCTCATTGAAGCAACCACGTGCTGCCCTCCCCTTCATCCCCCGCTCTCCCACTCTCGCCTCACCTCCAGGTTGCGCTGCTGCACGCCTGACAGGCTGGCATTCACAAATACCGCCTCCACTGGCACCCCCTGGATAGGGCAAGAAGGGGGATGTTTGCGAGAGAATCGAGCAGGGGGAAAGGTAAGGTACGTGGGAGAAAAGATTGGAGTGTGTGTGTCAGGGAGACAAGGTTGCAGATCGAAAGTGGGAGTGAGTTTGTTCACGTGGTGTAAACCGAGAGAACGAGAACACTAGGCACATTTGATCTGGCACATATTGTGAGATGACATGCTCTTGAGTCGACTCTGAGTCGACCCAAAAGCACACATATCATACCATGGCATGATGGCATGAAGCATGCAAACAGTGATCGTACCATGGTATGAGATGCGTGCACATGTGCAGCTATACTCTCGATGGTTCCACTACCGAAGAAGGATCCTGCAGGAGCAAGGGGAGGGGAGTGAAGAGGAAGGGATGGGAGGAGGCGCATTCTCAGCTGAGAATGGTCAAAACATGCTAACCTTCCGTCTTAACCTTTAGAGAAGGCAAGTCGTTGGAAAGAACAGATGGCACTTGCTTCCTTGCGCAGGGCAATGGGTGGGGACAGCAAAGCGTGGGCACTTACGCCTCGCCCCCTGGTATCCCTGCATCCATGCAGGCATCCAAGCAAGCACCCATGCCTGCTGGTATCCCCGTCCCGTGCTGTGCACCGCACCACCACCCACGGGTGCCCCCACCATACAAGCACGTAGAACCATTGACACACCACAATGCACACCAGCATGTACCCAAACACGCCTGCTCGTACCCCCCGCGCCCTGCTGTGCACCATACCATCCCACGCATATACTGGAATGCATGCACGCATACCTCGGCTCGGCCCGCACACACCTGCTCGTACCCCCCGCCCCCTGCTGTGCACCACCACCCACGGATGGCCCCCTCCCGGCGGCGGGAACCCAAACCCCTCAACCCCATCCCCGCTCCGCGCTCTCCTCCCTCTCCCCTCAGCTTCGTCCCATTGCCGTGCCTGCTCTCGCCCCTCCTGCCACTCTCGCTCTTCTCCCTCCTCCTCCGCCTGCAGCTGCTGCTCCTGCTCCTGCTGCTGCTGCTGCTGCCCTTCCTGCCCCGGCCGCTCTCGCTCCTCCCCGCCCCGCCACACGTGCTGCTCCTCATCCCCTCCCCCCCACGTCCGCTGCTCCATCTCCCATTGGCTGTCCGTGCCCGTCAGCGAGTCCACCAATCGCAGGGCCTCGCTCAGCTTGGCGCGCAGCAGCCAGCGGGGATGTGTTCTTGGCTGCACCACCAGCATGCTGTGGTAAGGGGAGTGGGGAACGAGAAGAGGGACGAAAGTAGAGGGGATAGTCGGAAAAGAACGAGTGGATAAGTAGAGAATGGGAGGGCAGAGCCTCGCTCAGCTTGGCGCGCAGCAGCCAGCGGGGATACGTACACAACTGCACCACCAGCATGTTTTTTTCTTTATGTTTTTTTTTTTTTTTTTGCTCAAGGGGAAGGATGGGTGGAAGTAAGGGAGGGAGGTGTGGGAGGAAGTAAGGGAGGGAAGGATGGGGGGGAAGTAAGGGAGGGAGGGGTGGGGGTCGTCTGAGTGCTATGGAAACGACTATCCTTGGTAAAGTGTGATTAAAGGCGAGAGCATAAAAGCCAGCGCCGGTGATTTTTGAGTCGACTCAAAAATCACCTACGAAAGCGGCTATCCTTCGTGCAGGGTGATTGACGGCGAGAGCATAAACGCCAGCGCCAACGCCGTCAACATGCACCCAGATCTTGGCTCACTGAAGCAAACCTTGGTCATTGTGTGGGGTGGGGGGGGAGGGGGGAGGAGAAGGCGAGGGGGGGAAGGGGAAGGGGGAGAGAACGGGAGGAGAGGAGGGGGGGAGGGCGAGGAGGGGATTCTTCAGCAAAACAAAAAAGTGCTGATAATCATAAGCACGTGTAACTCTACCTCTTCCCGCCTGCCGCGTGCCATGGCCTGAATCTGCTTTTACAGCCGCATCTGCTTCATTCTCCGCAACGTTTTCGTCCCACAAGTTAGTGATTTGCCACATGTACACCCTTTCTTGCTGCCTAGCACCTACCGTGTGCCGTGGCCTGAATCTGCTTTTACAGCCGCATCTGCTTCACTCTCCGCAGTGTTTTCGCCCGACTCTCCATCCTCCTTATAAGCCTCTTCATCTGCAATCAACGACTCGTCGCTCTCTCCAGCTATTGCGGCTGCTGCTGCATCGTCCTCCCCCCGACGCCGCCTTCTGCTTCTCCCCCCGTCCTTCCCCTTCCGCCCTGCTGCATGCGCGGAAAGCGGAGTGGCGGGTGGCGGAAGGGCGGCGGGCCATTCTCCGCGGAGGGCGGTGAAGCGCGGGACGAACGCGAGCCCCGCCGATGCGGGAACAGGAGGCGGCGGAAGGAAGGTGTGAGGAACTTTCGCTCGGTGGGAAGGGCATTGACACGTGGCAACAGGCGAAGCTGCTAGTGACTGACGCGGCCAGGAGTGCTGCGGTGGCCGACGACAGTCATTCGAATAGTCGCTAATATTGCTAAGAGACGCTACTAGCCCTAGATTCTGTAATTTCGAAGCACGTTCGAGGCGACCTGGAGGTAGGATGCCGCGCGGTTGACAGATTTGACGATACCACGTGGAAGAATAACTAGAGAGCGCCGTCACAGAGGCGGGGTTAAGCGGCGAGCCAGCTGCTGGGTTCAGGTCACGGCACCCTTGGTACGGCGCGCGACGAGCCAGCCGACGGCCAAGCGACGCGATAAATCGTTCACAGCCACGTGTCATGCTGCCAAGAAGCCCGAGTCCCTCCCTCCGTCAATCAAGAAAATCGCGAAGCCGCTGCATTTTACCGCCCGCGCACAGCTGGGCAAAGCTGGTGCGACCCTAGGCTAATCAAAGCTCCTCAATCTCGTCATTGTGCGCAACCTGAACGAGCGGAGGAATCTCAGGCGGAGGAGCTTACGGCAACGGAGCAAAGCGTGCAGGTGACGCTACCCGTGCATGCGGTTCTGCAGGGTGCAATTCGTTTCCGTGTAGAATGGACAGAAGAGGAAATATGGCTACTTATGATAGAATGCACAAAGCTTTCTTCATGGGAGGGAACCGTATCAATGCATTGCAAAATGCATTGAGCAAACCAATCCATTCCCCCATCCCTATATCTAGCCCAACTATGTAACATCCATGAGGTTCTTGGATCATTCAACACTTCTACCATAACCTCCTCGTGATGAATGCCAACTCATTCAAAAGGATGTTATACAGTGCTAATAGAGGTGTCATTCACCGGTGGCATCCATGTTCATGCAAGACGCTGGGATAACATATCTCCCAGCTTATTCTGTAACCCAGCCATACATCCACCTTGATGCATAATGCTCGGATACCACACCCCATCTTATTTCGCAGCCCCTCCATTTTGGGACTGGACTGAATTTCTCTCGGGCCTCACATCAGCTGATTCATCCCCTGGTGGCCACGTGGAGCTAAACCTCCCCTCCCCTCCCTCCACCCCAATCCTCCCAAGCTTCCTACCCTTCATTCTCCTCCTCCAACCTCCCCATCCAGCAATCTGACATACGGTACCCTGGTTGCCCTACTCGCAGTCCAGCAGAAGTTACCTAGCAGGCACAAGCCTCTGTATTATGTTGTACAGGAACTCAGACCAGGTGTCCTCCGGTCCTGGAAGGCAGTAGTGCAGGCAGTCAACCTTATCCGTAGCCACCACGCCCCTGTGCCCGTCCGGTCTTAACGCCATCATGGGATCCACATCCATGAACAGCCCACCCGCGTCCTCCACTATCTTCCTCACCATCTCATTTTGCTCTCTGAATTCACCCCACCTGAACGGCAATGCCGCTCCGTCTTGCCGCTGCTCAATAGGCCGGGTGTGGTTTAGGCAGTTGAGGTGCCCAGGGGGTGTAGTGCGGTAGACTAGGAGCTTGTCGGGGTGATTATGGCGAAGGAATCTGAAGACTCGCTTGACCGCCTTGACCACCTTCACGGCTGGCTTATAGTGAGCGCCACGGTTCATTATAAGCATGTGGGAGTTTCTGATTCCGGGGACTTGCTGCCACGGCACATGGAGCCATGCCGCCCGCTCTAGCTTCTCCTCTTGCACCCGCATGAGCCTTGTCGTTGCCACATAGTGAATCTCCAATCCTGGACACCCTTCAATGCGGTAACCAGCACATGTAACAGTAACCGTGTCATCGATCCACTCAAGGCATTTCTGCTTCACGATCCTCCCCACCGCCGGCTTTGGAATATGCTTTATAATGTTATTCATAAACGAATAGTGATGCTCCCGCGTCAGCGAATCCCCGATAAAAGCAATCCGCAGCCCGTCCTTCCGCCGCGCAGCCAGCTCGCAAAGCGCGCGCCCGTCGAACCTCGAGAATATCTCCCCCTGAACCCCCTCTGCCCCCACCACCGCCTGTCTCCCCCCGCTAACTCCCGCGCACTTCTCCCTAGGAACCACCCACTGGTATTTTAGGCTCTCTCGGACCTTCCACGCGGCAGCAGCAGCGGCGGGGTCCCATCCCGAAACCGCGATTCTGTCCGCGTAGGCTCCCGCGACGCCGCCCTGCTTCATGTGCCTGGCGTCGCAGCTCTGCAGTTGTTTCTCCTCCCACGGTAAAACCCTAGGCGTTGCGTTGTACCGCCACTCCCCTAGCTCCGCCACACAAGTCATCCACTGCTTGAATGCCGCCGCCTCGCCTGTCCCGGGCCTGAGCCTCGAGCCTGGGATCCTGCTTCGGAAGTCGCCGAGGCTGGCCGGCTCGTCCGGTGGGAAGGAGATGGCTGGTAACCCGGTGTACGCCTGTAGTGTAGGGTTGTTACGGATCATTGCGGTTACCGTACCGTACACCTCGTCCACGTGGCAGTGCTCTTGGGAGTGCCAGTTCACCTTAGTCGGATCGCAGGCCGAGAGAAAATGATGAACGCCGAGGCGGGAAGCGAGGTGGAAGTGCCATGTGGCAGCGCGCTGTTGGCCGACGACAGGGATGGACGCTGCAGCCATGGCGACGGTACGAGGGAGGATCTCGATCAGAGTCGAATTAAACGGCATGAAGATTAGATTCGAAAGGGCGGGAGACGTAGGACCGACGAACAGAATCGCCCGGGAAAAGAGCTCCTTAGCTTGCAGCAGCGGCACGTGCTCGTCGTACACCACCACGCGCGCCTCCCCGAATAGCTCCCGCATCATTACAATCACACGGTTCATGGCATCCGCCGCCTCCTTATTGTCACCTTCCGCTCCCTCCGCCCCCTCCCCTCCAGCTGCTCCCCCCGCGAATTCCCATTCCCCCAGCCCGAGACCCTCCCCCCCCGCCACCCCCCGCACCTCCCTCCCCCCGTGCGCGCTCCACACAAGCGACACCACCACCACCCAATCCGCGCGCAAGCTCTCCCCAACCACCATGTGCGCCCGAGCCTGCTGGTTCGGGTGCTGGTTCGCCAGCCGAGGAACCCAGTTCGGGTTGAGGATCGGCAGGCCGTTGGGCGGGAGGAGGTGGTGCGCGCGGAGGGTGCGCCAGAGTGGGTCGGGGGAGCGGGGGCGGGGAGAAGCGGCGAACCCGCAGAGGGAATCCGGATGTAGCGGGAGGTAGAGCTTCTTGGCGAAGAACAGGTGCGGGCGCGCGGATGCCGCCGCGCCTCGTGCTGACGTGGAATATACTGACGTGGCATCTAGGGGGATGGAGAGCGCGGCGAGATCCACTCCGAACAGGCCAGTGCGCACGTGATGCAGCAACTGGGGGAAAGTCGGGGGAAGAGGTGGTGGGAAGAGGGGGTAGGGGGGAGGGGGAGTAGCAATAAATAAGGCTGGGTTTTTAGAATCAGGTCGCCTCGTAACGCGTTACATTGTTACATTGTGGCTGCAGTAAGAAGGCCACGCGTGAATGACTAACAACCCCCATGAGCTCGCTTTAAAACTCACCCGTCGATCGCGCAGCAGCAGCGGGTATCGGCGCGCAGTGGGCATGAGCGACGACGACAGCAGGAACAGCACCGGCAGCAGCCGCGCCAGCTGCCGCTCCTTCGCGCTTCCGCCCAGCGCGCGCGCTTTCTCCGCCCACTTACTTCCTTCCGCTTGCGTCTCCGCCCCCGCTTCCGCCGCCAATTCCGCCCACCCGTCGTCTTCCTCGTAAGGGAGTAGGTTAATTAGATGCTCGTGGACGCTAGTAACGGTGCCTGCGGGGTAAGACATCTCCGCTATAGCTTGCTTCTCTGTCCGCATTTTCCACTCCCCGCCAGCCCCGCCGCCGCATGCGCTGAACACGAACACGTGGCTCGCGTTGAACACGGCGCCCCGTCCGTTGACGAAAACGTCGCGAAATAGAAGAATCGCGCTGTTACCCGCTTCGTCTGTTACACTCGGCGGGACCTTTTCGTCGATTTGCTCCTCGGAGCCCCCCTCTTCCCCCTCCCCTTCGCAGACGTCACCCACGTGTAACAGCGGCCAGGGCCAGAGCCACGGCCGCTGGTGACATTGCGTTCGCGACTGTAACCTTTCGGCTTCGCGAAACCGTGAGGCGAAACTCGCGATATCATTGGCGACGGGAAGCGAACCCGTTCTAGGTTCCACAGGTGCGGACCACTTGCACGCGGAGACTTCGCTCAGAGCACCCGAACCTGGCTCGAAGGTCGGGCAGACGGACATTGCCGAGCCTGCGGATCCGGTTCGGGCATGACGCGAATCCGGCTCGGGGATTGGGTGAACGAGCAACGACTCGAGGGAGGCGCCTTCCAGGGGAGCTTGCAACTGCGTCACCGCCTCCGCCCCTTCGCGCCTCTCCGCGAGGGGGGACGAGGGGTCTGCGCCGCCCGCTTCCCCCGGATGTCGGAGAGAGTCTCTCCGCGGTCGTCGCACAAGAGTGCGAACCGCGGCGTGAAGAAAAGACTCTGGGTGCGGCTGACTGTCGGTGGCCAGGATCTGACGTGGAAGTACTGACGTGGCATGGCCGTGCTGTGAGCTCAGGTGGATTAGGCTAATTGCGAGGAGGAGGAGCGATAAGGAAGGTAAAGCTCTTGATGTGAGAGAAGATCTTCTTTGCAGGTTCATGGCGTATGGCCCGTGAATCGAGATCGTGGGAGGATTTGTGAAGTATAGCTATTTGCGCTTCAGAAGTCGCTAGGGAAGTGCAATGGCTGCGGGAGTAGCCCGGACGATGCCCGCTCGTTTCTAACTCGAGCGAAGGGCGCTCGGCTCGAGTAGCAGGAATGAATCAATAAATAGCTGACCTTGAGCCGTGACGGGTTAGTACTGTAAGTAATTACTACGGCTTTCCGAAATTGTCATTCCACCAAATCTATCCCTGCATGCGCGCAAGAATTGAAGCCTTTCACCCTCGAATGAATGTGCAAGCAAACCAAGCAAATGCATTTCCCAGTGGCAGTGGTGGGTGGTGGTGTGATTTCAGGAGAACGCGCTTCGATTCATGCTGGCTGGCATTTACCATGCGGAGGGATTCCAGTGGGGCTGGTAAACACCTGACGGGACCTGACCACCCCGTGCAACCCCTAAGTGCCACAGCTTCCAGCAGTTCCAGCTCATCTCACCGCCACTGGGTAGGCTCGGGACTGAACAGTTTGATAGGTTCTCGTAGGAGCAGCTGATACTTTTCAGCACTGCGCTGGGTTTCGACTTACGGGATAGCTGTTTTGTTAAAAGCGCAAGCTTAAAAGCGCCCATCCGTGAGTCCAGTTGAGCCCCCACACTCCCCCACCGTCGCCAACTGGCATCCACAAGGCAATTACTCGCTAAGGACTGTCGCGGTAGTAGTGACTCCCGAGGTGTGATCAGCCAATTTGGTCTGTACACCATGTGGAGGGGGTTTGAAATGTCCCATGTCTTGTAAATGAGTGGAGCATGGCATGCAAAATAACTTTGGCTGGCGAGGCGATCAAAACTCATTTCCACCGTTTACCATCTAAAATCTCCATAATGCCATCACATCTCAACAGACACCTTATGCCCGTACATATTGATTCCATTCCTGCTGCACATGTTTCCACTTTCTCGGTATCTTCAACCAACTGCTCCCTTGTTGAGCCATACATGCCCTGCAATCGAAGCAATTGTTGAATGAAACTCAGTAAGTCTACATGTCTTCCCAGTGAAACGAACATCAGCATGTGGAATGCAACCAATTTCGCCTGTAAAAGTATACACGAATGAAGGCAGAAACAGTGAGCGTGGAACCAACATGCTGTTGCATGCAAGCAGCATGCTGAGTGCAATGGTGGGTAGTCTCAAAACTAGAATTGAATGATTATAGAGTTAGAGAGTACATGCACATATACCTAAATGTTGTACCCTCTAGGAGGTTACCCTATACAGTCTATACAAACATGATCAATAAACATGTTTGACACACCCCCTGGACTGCATAGGGGAATGTCCTAAACAAGCAGCTCAGGGCGGCACTACTAGTCCAGCCTCTGAGACAAGGGTCTAAAAGACGAGTCAGAAGGAGTACAGACAAGACAAGAACAAGTACAGGGCGGCACTACTAGTCCAACCACTGTGAGAGGACACAAGTCCAGTCTGAGTGTACACATATATATAGGACAGTACAAAGTCAAGGCCCGAGTAAGTGAGGGACTACAGGAACCAGACCAAGCTGTACACAGTGCCGCTGATGATCTTTAGGCGCAAGCGCCTTCGTAAAGATATCAGCTGTGTTGGCACCGGAGGCCAAGTGTACTACGCGAGCCTGGCGACGCTGCTGGAGCTCGCGCAGGAGGAAGTACCGCAGCTGGATGTGCTTCGCTCTACCCTCGAGTCGAGGCTCCTGACACAGGAGGATCATGGCCCTGTTGTCAGCGTACAAGACCGGGGCAGAGCTAGGCCGCTCACCTAAGTCAGTGAGCAAGAAGGTCAGCCAGCGGAGCTCCTGTGCCGCCATGGCACCGGCGTAGATCTCAGCCTCACAGCTGGACTGGGCAACAGACGAGGAGCGGGTAGCTCTCCACGAGACAGCACCTGAGCCAAGGCTAAAGCAGTAGCCCTGGGAAGACCTGAGCGTCTCGGCGTCGTCTGCCCAAGAAGCGTCTGTGTGTCCAGTAAGGACCACTGGCCTGCGTCCGCCTAGCACTAACCCCATGCCCGATGTACTTGCAAGATAACGCAAAACCCTCTTAGCGGCAGACCAGTGCTGAGGTCGGTGTCTGCCTGTGGCCACGAAACGAGCCAGGATGCTGAGAGGGTATGCGAGATCTGGGCGAGTGCAAGTCATCAGGTACATGAGGCAACCCACTAGCTCAGCGTAAGGACCACTGGGATCTACCGACTCCTCAGGAACTGGAGCGGAGAGTCTGTGGTCCAGAGGAAGAGGGGTGGGCTGTGCGGAGGAGAACTGAAGGCCGAACCTCTGAAGGACCTGGCGCACCAAGTGTGACTGAGTCAGGGTGATGGTGCGCGCGGCTCTGTCCCTGGAGATCTGCAAGCCAAGGTAACGGCGCAGCTCTCCAAGGTCAGTGCAGGTGTGTCTCTTCAGCAGCTCTGCCTTCACGGAGGCCAGTGCGTCCCTGTCAGCTGTGGCAAAGACCAGGTCGTCTACGTAGACAAGGATGTAGAACGGGGTCGGGCCAGCACGAACGAAGAGCGAGGGGTCTACAGAGGACGGAAAGAACTGCAGGTCAGCAAGGGTAGCACGCAGCGTGTCGTGCCACTCACGAGGCGCCTGGCGCAGGCCGTAGACTGGACGCCGCAGAAGCCACTGGGTCCCAGGGGGGAAAGTGCCAGTAAAGCCCTGAGGACGACGCAGGTAGACCTGCTCGTGAAGGCTGCCCTGAAGGAAGGCAGTGGAGAAGTCGAGGGAGTGAAGCTCGTAGTCACGCTGAGCCGCTACGTGTAACAGAACCCGAAGAGTAGTCATCTTCGGCGTAGGAGCGAAAGTCTGAAAGAAGTCCACCCCCTCGCGCTGACTGAAGCCTCTAGCCACGTAGCGCGCCTTGAACACAGGCGGCTCTCCAGGAGGGCGCTTCACCTTGAAGAGCCAACGGCCATCGACCACGTTCACCCCAGGTGGGGGAACTGCGTCGACGAAGGTGCCGGTGGATCTCCAAGATGCCATCTCCTGTTCCATGGCAGCTATCCACTGAGAGGCCCAGGGTCCCGAAACCGCCTCAGCGTAAGTACGAGGGGTCGGGATGTCGAAAGCGTCTGGGTCACCCTCAGGGACTAGCAGCATGGAACAGAGATGGGGAGCAGCCTCGGACAGGAAAGCAAGCTCAAACTGGCGGTCCTCCAGGACGTCACTGCCGAGGGCAGGAGCACCCCCGACAGACGGAGGACAGGCAGGGTCGGAGACCAGAGCGGTAGCGTAGTCAAGGCGGCGGGTAGAGGCGAAGTCAGCGACCGCAGTGACAAGGGCGTCAAGACTCGACACTGGAACAGACGGGTCTGTAACCAGAGAGGCAAGGACCCGAGGAACAAGAGGACGAGCGGCACGAAAGTAGTCAGACAGAGGAGGAGACACAACAACAAGAGAGGACGGAGGAGGAGACGGGAGGAGGGGAGGACGAGACACGTGGGACCGGAGCAACATAGGGTGAGAGCGCGGGACGGGGGAGACAGGACGAGCACGGGAGGGGCGGCGAGACCAGACGTGAGAGGGAGGCGTCGGGTCAGGAGACAGAGGAGGGGACACTGGTGGGGAACGAGGGGGAAAACGAGCCGGGGACGAGTCCGGCGGAGGGAACACGGGGCCGTAGACGGGAAGAGGAGGAGACGGCAGGTGAGGAACAGGCGCAGGGTCAGGGGACGGAAGGCCGAGCAGACGGAGGGCGGACACCGGCGGGGACTGCTGCTGCGGCGACACAACACCAACGCCAGGGCCACAAGCTGCGCGACTGCTACCTCCCGAACCCTCCACACCGGCACCCCCAGAAGGGACACCCCCAGAGCACGAAACCCCGCCGGCACCGGTACCACCCCCAGGCCCGCCGGGACAAGCCACGACAGGAGCCCCGGGACTAGTACCCACCTCAACGCCAGCACCCCCAGAGTCCACAAACAGCGGCAGCGACGACTGCGGCGGCGGCGGCGGCGGCTGCAGCGACGGCCGCGACGGCGGTGGCGGCGGAGATGACGGCCGCAACGGCGGCGGCGGTGGAGACGACGGCTGCAGCAGCTGCGGCGACGGCGGCTGCGGAGGCGGTGGAGGAGGAGACACCGGGGGAGGGACAGACGGCGAGGACTGCGCCGGAGGACTACCAGAGTCAGAAGACTCGTCGACCGGGACGACCGACGGGAGGGGGGTGACGTGAGACACACCAGAGGGGCCGGACGGGGGGCGGGGGGGGGGAGGGGCAGGGACCACCGGGGAAGGAGGGACCAGGAACAGGGGGGGAGTAACCGGGGGACCACGGTGGGGAAGCGGCGGTAGAAGGAGACGGACTCGTCAAAGGTGACGTCGCGAGAGTGAAAGAAGCGGTGAGACGGCGGGTGGTAGAAGTGCCAGTCGGACGCGTCAAGGGGAAACCGAGGAAGACGCAGGGGAGGGTGCGGGCAGTGAGCTTGTCCGTGCCAGAGGCACGAACGTGAGCAAGGCAGCCCCAGACGTGGAACGCAGACGCGTCACCAGGGGACCCGGTCCACAGAAGGGTCGGCGAAACCGGCGGCCGCTGGGGGTGCGGCCACAGGTTAAGCTGGTGAGCGGCGTAGCGCACGGCGAACGGCCACAGAAAATGGGGTGCACCGGCGTGGATCATGGAGGTGCGAGCCACCTCCATGACCAAACCGATGCGTCGCTCAGCGACCCCATTCTGCTGCGGGGAGTCCGGCAGGGTAAACGTCTGGGTGATGCCCTCCGCACGACAGAAGCGACCAAGGACACCTAAGGCAAACTCGCCACCCCGGTCGGAGTGGAGGCGCAAGGCAGGGAGACCGCGGTGGACATGAGCAGAGACAAGCCAGGGGATGAGAACGTCAGGCACGTCGGCCTTCCGCTCCAGGGGAAAGACGGTGGTGTAGCGCGTGAAGTCGTCGACAAGCACTAGGAAGAAGCGCTCGCGACGCGGCCCATGGACCGGGGCTGGGCCCCAGACGTCCATGTGCAGAGTCTGCAGTGGTGCGGTGGTAGGGGGAAACGAGGAGGAGTGAGGGGCACGGCGGAGCCGGCCCTCGACACAAGGCGTGCACGGGGGGGCGGGGGAGGAGGGAAACTCGGGGAACGAACCGGGGAGACCAAGGACGAGACCGTGCTGGGACATGTGACGCAGACGCGGGAGTGCAGGGTGACCAAGGCGGTGGTGCCAAAGGAGAGTCGGGTGAGTGAGGGACCGACAGGAGCACGCAGCAG